GGGGGGGGGGGGGGGGGGGTGGGGGGGGGGAGGGAGGGAGGGGGACACACAACAAAAAGATAAATAGTAATTAGTGCAATATAAAAAATGCAAATAATTTTTCTGTGAATCACCAACGTTTTCTCGTGGACCAATGGTTGGTGACCATCGTTCTAGACCAGCCTGGAAAGTTAATAAAAGTCCAGGCCAAAGGATTTTAATTGTAACTGCTATGAGTCACTTCAGTCAGTGTTGTTGATGTTACCGGGCAACGTGTTTTTCCATCCATAGCTACTGATTGTAAATAGGACCAGGTGAACAACTTCCTCATGTTTCAGAGTGTAAATTAAATGACCAGAGACCCAAAGTGTAGTTCTGGTAAATGCTTATTTTCCTGAGTCCATGCATTAACATGCAAAACATAACATGGTCTGTTTGGTTTTCTTCTGTTGTACTATGTGAACCTAATCAAAGGTGGCTTGGTAAACAAGTTAAAAGGAATCCTGGCTCTGTTACAGGGAAGAAGGTCCCATGTTCCCAAACTTCCAAATGTCCAGATTCTTTTCAGGAATTCAGGAAATTTAGAACCTCTGCCCAAGGGAAGGAAGGGAAGGATGCTCTGTGCCACTCTTGTTGCCACTTTCTCCAGCATGAATCCCTTCAACTTTTTATGCGGTGAACATCTGCTGAAGTTGACCCACTCTGTTCAGGACTCAAATGGGGAAATGATTTTGTGCAATGGGGGTTCATCATATTGATTTGAGTTCAGTTTGTGTGAATTCAAGTAGAAATTCCGCCCTGTTCTTTGGACAACATTTTGGGAGCAGAATCCCTCACCTGCCATCTGTAGACAGATGGCTCTTGGCCAAGAAATCACAGGTGCTGCAGATGCATCAAGGAAGGTTTACAAAAAACCAAACAGCAGTTCTCAAGTCTGCACATTCCATATCCAGTTGTCTGGAAACCCCTATTATCTTATTGACTTGGCCACCCACTTAATACCCTAATCTTTTTTTTTTCTAAATAAAGTTTTCATTGTTTTTTTAAAAATACAAATAACACATTTATGAAGTGTTGTCCAGGTTTTCCCCTTTTACATCCTCTTTTATAAACAATCCATTTTACATCATAATCCTATTTCCAATTTCAACTCTATTATTCTCTTCTCATATTTTCCATCTTAAACTTATTTTCTTCTTGTTATATAAACAATATCATTAATTGCCCTTTCAAAGTTATACCAAATTATCATTTCATAATTCCTCTTTTCATCTATTTTACCCTAATGAAATCATCTAGTTATTTTTTTATTTTTAGCTGCTTTTTCTTCTAATCTTGTTCTTCAATTAAGCCCATTCTCTCTCTCTTCTCTTCTATTTTCTCATGAGTGCTCCATCTAAATTTCTAGTTTATCCTTTCCCTCCAAACTTTCTCCATACATTTTTTAACATCTCAAATAGTTCATTATACATCGATGATACCAATTTGACAAATTAACAATTTTTTCATCATAGTTCTGTTTCCATTTCCAACCCAATTCATTCTCTAATAATACCCTAATCTTGAAAGTCCACTTTTGCTGAAATATATTGTGCCTTCAGCTATAGCTTCAGTTCATTATATGATACCTCTTTTGCATTTATGAGATAGTTATTGGTGATTGTAAAGTCCCTTCAATTTTGTGAAGTAGGCACCATAACCCTTTTTTTCTACAGAGAAATATAAAATAATTGCAACGAGAACCATGTGTATAGTTCTCTTCAGACAAATAATTTCCAGATTTTTCTCTTCCTTGTATTGAAACACTGACAAAAGAGATGCTGCAGAAAGATCTGTTGGTATCTATTTCTGAACATGCTTCTTTGCTGGCACTTAAAAAAATTCAGTGATCATTTGTGACTAATGTTGTAACGTCTGCTAATGGCTGCGCCTTGTTCTTTGGTAGGATGGCTTCACTCCATTGGCCGTGGCCCTCCAGCAGGGTCATGACCAAGTGGTCTCCTTGTTGCTCGAAAATGACACGAAGGGCAAAGTGCGGCTCCCTGCGCTCCACATCGCTGCACGCAAGGATGATACCAAGGCGGCTGCTTTGCTACTGCAGAATGATCACAATGCTGATGTGGAGTCCAAGGTTAGTTATGCAACATTTTTTTTCTTCAAAGGACATTGATTGATGTTTGCTCTTCCTCTGCTGCTCCTAGACAGGAGTTTTGATGATGTAAGACATCTGTCTCCTCTGCCACGGCTTAATGAAAGCATTTTTTTTTCAAGTTGCATTTAACGTTGAACTTGAATGCACAAACCAATTTTAGTCAACCAATTATAGTTCGACTCTTAACAGTTATTGCAAAGGTAGAAACAGCAGCACCAGGAGGTCTATGGAGATTCTCGGTCATCCAGGTCCTGGTTGTCCCAAAGGTGCTTTTCCATGAGAGGCAGAACGTTTTCAAGGAAAGAAAACCAAGAAAGTCCAGTTGCCTTTTAGAAAAGCATCTTTGGGGCAGCAACACCAGGAGGCTTGTTAAGTTGGCTGCTGCTCCAGAACTGGTGGACTTTTGATTCAAAGCTTAGGCTCTGTATCCGTATCTCAAAATCGTTGAAGGAAGCCTGCAACAGGCAACTGGTGGTGAGAGGTCCTTCTCTATTTGAAACATTTGAGGTCCACCAAGAGGCTCTTGCGGGTCTTGAGTTTACTTTACTGAGCCCACTGTCACTCTAGTGCAGGAGAGTGAAAGATTCATTCTAGGGGCTACCTGTGTGACCCCACCGCCCATGAACCAAGGGCTGGTTAGTCCCATTTAGTTCTGAAGGGATAGGTCAATTTCTAGAGCAAAATAGGGGCCTTTAAGATACCTGAGAAGCCCTTGAAGTGCCTAATGTTCCTTCCCAAAATGGCTCTGACCTGGCTTACTCCAGATGGGGCCCTTGGCACATGAACGAAGCCTGGCACAGCTTCCAGCCCATGGAAGTGACTCTCCTTTCTCGTTGTTGTGTGAGAAACTGGCAGGACTCACAATCAAGAAGTCTAGAACTGAAGGCTGTCATGGGAGAGAGGCGGCAAGAGAGAGAGGGGGGGTGGGGGTGGTTGATTTCTCCCAAGGGGTATGGACTTACATGTTTAACCATTTGTGTTTCTGCCGGTCAACCCTGCTTCCCTCCTGTGCTTTGTTTGTGATTTTATTTTAGCCTCATCTGGCCTTCACAAAGCTTTCTGCCACATTATGGCCGTTGGAGAACTAACCATCCATTTTTCCCCCTTTCCTTTGCTTCCCAATGTGTTAACCTAGATGATGGTGAATAGAACAACCGAGGTATATCTCTCTATCTATATAACGTCTTCTCTGTGTTTCAACTTTGAGTCTCTCTGTGCATCATCGCTCTCCTTCTACCACTCAGAGCTGCTGCTTCTTTTCTTCCTTCTCTTCTCTGTGCTGCCTTTTAGAGGAGTAGAGAGCGGCTTCCGTCTGAACCGAGGGGTGGCATGTGCTGATGGGGGGGCTGGGGTGTGTGTGTTGGGGTGATGGGGAATGTAGTGGAGGGGCAGGGTTTTCTGCAGCTGAGTCCCATGCTTTAAAAATTCCCCTTGAGAGAGCTTCAGTGGAAGTCATGGTCTCCCACCTCACCCCACCCACCCCAGAGCCAGAAGACGGGGGTGTGGCCGGTGGGCCTCCATTGCTGGGCCGAGACTTTATCCGTGCAAAGCTGCAGACATCTCTGGCCACTTCTGCACCTGGGACTGGCTCCTGCATGACACTTAGTTGTCGGCATCCACCAGAAGGGACGGATTCTTCAAAGGGACTCAGAAAGGTCTGAGCTGGAGGCAGAGGGAGCATGGCTAACCAGGCTTATGAACCATTTCGGAAGTGGATGGATTCCTGACGAAATTTTCACTTGTGGTGGGAATGGACGGAATGGCTGCATGTTTTAGCATTTGTCAAAACAGGGGAACTTTAAAAAAAAAAACAATCACTCAAGTGTCAGAGCGGCTCACTTTGTTTGGATGGATATTTTCTAATGAACTTGTAAGATTAATCCAGCCTGATTGCTCACAGTGGGAGACTTCATCTGCAATAAATTAAATTAATAATAAATTAATCATAGATTTTTTTAAAAAAAATGCACCTCTTATTAATTTCTTTTAAAATAAGACTCTGGTGCTGTTTCAATTAGCACCTATCTACAATCTTTGGATAGTAAACATAGCCAGCAATTAGTTTAGGGGATTTCTTCCTGAACTTTAGCAGGGAAATTTGAAGACATTTAACTGGGGAGGATGGTGAAATATTCATCCCAGATAGCTATTTCCAAAAACACATTGATTTAACAAACTAAATGGCAGGCATCATTTGCCTTGTATTAGAAGCATGTTGGGTACTTTCTTTTTGAAATAGCCAAATACTTTTTTCTGCTTTTCCTCCCCAAAATATGAGTAACATGTTTTCTTCTGAGCTCTTCCAACCTCCCCATCCTCAAACAGACCATTAAGCAAAACAGTGATGAAAATTAGAATAACCACCCTATTTGGGGAACATGCATAATAGGAGCTCCTGGAAGACATTTAAAAAAAATAACAATAATTGATCTTTTGCTGTGTATGTTGTGGTTGTTTTTCTTTATCTTTCAGAGTGGCTTCACCCCTCTACACATAGCTGCTCACTACGGGAACATCAACGTAGCTACGCTTCTATTAAACCGTGGGGCAGCGGTGGACTTTACTGCGAGGGTAGGTCACAATCCGTTAAAAAAAATCAATTATGCATTTCGTGTAGGGCTCCTCCCAGACCCTTTTAAGCCTTTGGATTACAGCTCCCATCATCTCTTTTTAGTAGAAATTGTGAGCAGAGAAGCTGCAGGGCTGGTTTAGGGCAGAGGTTGGAGGCTGATTTGATGTTTGCATTCTGTAACACAGAAGGGGTGTCAAACTCAAGTCCCAGGGGTTCAGATCTGGCCCACGGGGTACTTAGATGTGGCCCACGGAGCTGTCCTGGAAAAAGCAAAGAATCAGCCTGTGGTGTTCCTGCCAGTGAAAATGGGCTCCTGTGCTCCGTTTTCATCTGCCCCAGCCTCCTGCAACCCTCTGCCAGTGGAAAACGGAGCTTGGGAATGCCTTCCCGAGCTCCATTTTCCATTTGCAGAGGGTTGCAGGAGGCCGGGGCAGCCGAAAACAGAACACAGGAACCCATTTTCACTGGCAGGAACACTTGGGCCGCCACAGGCGCCCCCAAGAGGAGTGATGTTGAACTGGCCATGCCCACCCCAACCCCCTGAGGTCAAACACAACCCTGATGCAACCCTCAATGAAATCGAGTTTGACCCTCCTGCTGTAACATGTAGGAACATTTCCAAGGAAGGTGAAGCAGGATTTTTCAAACCTGGAGATTCAGTTTCAAAACTTTGTTCCAATCCCCCACCCCCCCCGCCCTCGATTGCTTGGTGGAGCTGATTAAAAAAAAAGGCAAACAGGTTCCCTCTAATCCCTGGCTCTTAGGGACCTCCCTCCGGACACAACCATGGGGCTCTCTGCAGAAGTCACTCCTCCTGACGTGTGGAGGAAGAGATGAAGGTTTCCTCTGCAGAACTAATGGTTCTGTTTGGATGGCAGTGGAGCTTTTGGTGCATTTTTCTTCCCCCTTTAAGAATGAGTCTTTTGGGGTTCATATACAAGGACAACTTCACTGAAGTGAGTCAGCACTAGAAGAGCAGTTGAGGATAGTTTAAGAAGACGACCATGCTACGAACAGAGGGCTGGTTTCATTCCAGGAGAAGGAAGAACAGCTCCTGGGAAAAGAGTCCAGGCCTCCTCTATTCTCCCTCTCGCTCTTCTCATCCAGAAATGAGGCTTTGGCTAATGATAGGAATGCTGAGAGAGGCCCTCTATTGGTTTAGGAGACAGAGATGTCCTTGGGTCCAGCTTAACTTCTGGCATTTGAATTGGCTTTCTTGGCGGCATGATGGATGTGGTTTGCTGCTGCTGCTGCTGCTGCCTTTCAGGAAGTTTTTTGCAGCTTCCCAAGATGTATTAGACTTTTTGGATAGATGGATGGGTGGATGGATGGATGGATGGATGGATGGATAGTAGATAGATAGATAGATAGATAGATAGATAGATAGATAGATAGATAGATAGATAGATAGATATAGATGATATATAGATATAGATGATATAAATATAGATATAGATATAGATGATATAGATACAGATACAGATACAGATACAGATAGGTAGCATGATGCCCTGAATCACCAAGAGAGCTTTCTGGCTGAGCCCCTATTGCAATGGTGCCAGCTCAGCACTCAGGGCATTGCCAAGGCAACAGTGAAAATCATCAAGAGCCATCTGGTATTGGGCGCAGGGGTTTCTCATACCATGGAAGAACTGCCCCTGAGATTAGGTGTGCAGGGCACGAGACACCTTCCTACCAGCTGCGGTTGCTGTCAGGTCTTCCTATGCTGATTAGAAGAGGCAGGAAAGGAGGAGGCAGGAAAACAGAAACCGACCAGGGACCTCTGCTGCCTATGCTTGAAATCTCTGCAGAAGAGAGATTTTTCCTTCCCCCACTTCTTCAGAGGTCCTCCAGGAAAGGGGGGGAGGCAATTTAAAATGGTACAAGAATGAGCATCTTGAGAGCCACAGCGTGGGAAAGAGATTCCACCCAGGTGAAATGCAAAGGCTGTTTCTTTCTCCCCCCTTGCAGAATGACATCACTCCCCTCCATGTCGCATCCAAACGAGGGAACACCAACATGGTAAAGCTGCTACTTGACAGAGGAGCCAAAATTGATGCCAAAACAAGGGTAAGACTGACCACCGTTGCTGTATTACTCTGTATTGCAAAACAGTCCTGGACAATCTGTTCAGTTTTGCCATCTTCGGCTCCAAGCCTCCTCATTAGTACAGCATTTTCACACCATTGACTCTTGCTGGTTTACATATATTGAGGCTGATTAAAAACCACCCAAAATAAATTTCCACATCAAAGCATTCACCTTCTCAGCATTCACCCAACCACATTGCACACCAAATGAGGGCAGCTCTCTTTCACTGCCAGAGGCAGAGCAGGCTCTAAGAAGGAGAGAGATTTCAGGGGGGGAAATAAGGGTGAGCTGGTCAGTGAGGAAATTGCATGTAGGGGCTCCTCTCCTAACTTAAGAAACTGAAGACTCTTGAAACAGAGTATTTCAAAAGGAACATTTAATTGAGTAGAATGGAAGCCCTTAAAGGCAAAGCAACATCTGAATCCCCTTAGGCAATGCAAGTAGAATTAAAGCAGTAGAAACCCCTCCCATTAGTTAGAGTGCAGATTTTAGCCAATACACAGGTGGGAAGATGTTTCCTTCATCAACTGCCCTGAGAGCCGAATATTTCCATTAGATATTAAAGTGAAACGTCCCACATGGTCATCATAAACATTCCCCCAAAAGGTGATGGGATCTCAAGGCACTTTGGCGCCTGGAAACCAGTTGTAAAATATCAGTTGTCACAGGCCCTGCTTATAAATCGACTCCAAGGACCCCCTTTTCCCAATTGAATGGCAGTATCACTTTTAGGGATCTGACTCCTAGGGTTGGATACCACTGTGGCTGCCTGTGGAGGATGGGCTTCCCCTTCTTGCAGGAGACTTTGAGTAGGTCTTCCATCCCTGCCACCACTTTGGGCCAGGAGGAGTTCACCAGCAGGAGGACATAAGCTCCCTTGCAATTGGCACTGAAGTCAATGGTGGGATTCAACCCGTTCGCGCCACTTTGGGAGAACCGGTTGTTAATTTTTTGAGAAGTTTGGTGAACTGGTTATTGGAATAAATCATTAAGGCAGAGAACTGGTTGATAAATTATTTGAATCCCACTACTGGACATAGTATTTAGATGGAGGTCCCACAGATGACTGGTGGGAGCCTTTGCTATATCTTGTGACAGCAATACTGGCTGTGCATTGTCTGCAGGACTTCTGGTTCTCTGCTTCCATTATTCATTGGAATAATGAATCATGATTATTCAGAGCCCTGGTGGTGCAGTGGTTAGAATGCAGTACTGCAGGCTGCTGGCTGCCTGCAATTTGGCAGTTTGAAACTCACCAGGCTCAAGGTTGACTCAGCTTTCCATCCTTCCGAGGTGGGTAAAATGAGGACCCAGGTTGTTGGGGGCAAGAGGCTGACTCTGTAAACTACTTAGAGAGGGCTGCAGAGCATTGTAAAGCGGTATATAAGTCTAAGTGCTATTGCTATTGCGACTCAGGGGGAGGTTTCCCTAGATTTGCCCTGGGCCCCATGTAGATTTATTCCCCTCTCCCAGGTCCTCTTTTTCTTTTGGAGCAGCTTCCTGATAATCTCACACTTTGGCATTTGAGCTACAACAGGATCTTAACAATAAATAAGATTGCCCTTACTAGATGTGATCTCAATGACTAAAGCAATAACACCACTTTTTTCTCCTGCCTAAAAGATGCTCCCCAGCATATCACGGTGGTTAATGGAGCACACAGTGCACTCAGGGAATCATCAAAGCTGCTTTGAAAGCACTTCCCAAAAATGCGTGGAAAAGAAGTGATTGATGTGGCTTAAATAAGTAAAAGAGGAGACGTGACAGCTAAATAACATGTTGTATAGATCTTGTTTATGGTGCTAAGCTTGTTGGCATTCCGGAATGTTATTTTCTCTTCATTATTGTACTGATGGGTCCTTATATTTTTCTGGTGTTTATTTGGCTGCTTTTGAACCTCTTTGACATGGTGTTCAGGTGATTGTATCTTGTCTTAATAAATTGGCTTATGAATAGCTCTTCTGCCCACACATTTATCCTCATCTCCCCTCCTTTTGTGGGAGGAACAAGCAAAGCACAAAGTCCCAAATTAGCTGGAGTGGCTTTGATTTGTCCAGGGTGGCTCTGGAGATTGTTTTCTACAGGCGGTGTCTGCCCTCCCAGTGAGACCCGTATCCTAGGGAATATTGCCATCTGGGGCCACAAATGCAAACTGTAGTACCCCCCCTTTTAAGAACAAAGATAAGGTCACCTCGTTCCAGAAAGCACCTATAGGAATGGGTGACATTGAAATGACATGAAATGGTTTAAGATCCAGTTTTTCTGAAGGGCAACTGGGATGGATGAGTTGCAAGTGCTTTTGGGTAGAAGTCAGGCTGCTGGCTGATTCTGCTTCCTGCAATTGTGGTTATTTGGTTAGCTTTGGTCAGTGAATGGTGTTCTATTGCAACCTGGTGACTAAAGCAAAGGTATAAACCACTCTCATTCACTGTTACCTGGAGCATCTGGGCTCCCAGTAAACAACCACCTGGAGCAGCAATGGCAAATGTTTTTTTGCTTGGGTGCCAAGAGGTCATGCACACATGTGATAGCGCACACATGTATGCCCATGCCAATAATGCAATGCCCTCCTCACCATGCCTGCCTGCACAACCCCCCTGCACATTTGCTCAGGACTCACTGAAGCCTCCGTACTTCCAGTAGACCCATTGGGCTGTTTTTTGCCCTCCCCAGGCCTCAGGAAAGCCTCCTGAAGCCTGGGGAGAGCAAAAAATGGCCGAAAGGGCCTACCAGAAGTTCATTTCTGAACTTCTGGTAGGCCCAGTGGCCTGTTTTTCGCCATCCACAGGCTCTGGAGGCTTTCCTGATGCCTGAGAAAGGAAAAAAATGGCCTCCCCCACGCCATCTGGAAGATCGAAAATCAGCTGGCCAGCATGCACATGCATGTTGGAGCTGACATAGGGCAGCACCTTCCGTGCCCTCAGCTATGGCTCCGCGTGCCACAGGTTCACCATCGCGGACCAGGAAGAACCAAAGAACAAGGAAGTCACCTAAAGGCCTTAGGAAACTACTCAGTCCTGCTTTCCTTCTCGGGATTTTGACTCTGTGGCTCTTTCAGGTTTAAATGGAGCTTAGGAGAGTCGTGGGCTTGATGTGTTGTGCAGCCACTGAATGATGTGATGGGAAATACAAGGGCTCAGTCTCATAGACCAAGGCTACAGGTAAAATATGCCTCAACTGTGAAGTAAAGCAGTGTAAGTGCTTGGCCTGTCACAAACTCCCTCAGCCATCTTAAAGAAAGTGACATTAGCTGACACTCTGTCCTGGAGGAACATTGGGAGAAATGCCAAGGAGCAAAAAATCCAAATAAATGTCAGTTAAATAGGAGGAAGCAGGACCTTCCTGGAGCTTGAAGATAGCTGTGTGAAGTACACTAAGTTGTGGTTTTCTGAATTTGAGTTTTTTCAGGTAGTTTTTGAAATGATGACTGCTTCATGAATCCCAGGAGTTCTGGAAGCAAAAGAACTAAGGAGTTCTGTTGTCAGACCTCAGAAATTCAGGGATCGGACTTGAGCAGCTTGGAATGATTTATCTTTCCAAAAAATACAATATTTTTGGTTGTCTCTCATTAACTCATAGATAAGAGTATATGTTGTGGCCCGTCAGTTGTGGGGCCTCATTTTACCCACCTCTGAAGAATGGAAGGCTGAGTCAACCTTGAGCCTGGTGAGATTTGAACTGCTGAACTGCAGCTAGCAGTCAGCTGAAGTAGCCTGCAGTACTGCACTCTAACCACTGTGCCACTTGTCTGTTTTTGTTGGTTACAAAAGAGCTGTAACTTTATATCCTTCAGGATGGTCTGACGCCTCTGCATTGTGGAGCCCGAAGCGGACATGAACAAGTGGTGCGGATGCTGCTCGACCGCGGAGCCCCCCTTCTTTCCAAAACGAAGGTAATAATGCGGAACTCCAGATTTGAGGAATCATGGAGTCCAAAGTCTCCCATTATATCCAACTTGTAAAGAGACTTGTAAAGAAAAGAGCTTGGCTGAATATAACAGGATTGGAAATTCACTTCAATCCATGACTTCTGTTGTTTTCCATCTTAGGAATAGCCTTGCATTTGAGTGGGACAGGTAATGCCTTTCAGGATTCTCAGGATGCTTCTTTGTCTACATTATTTTATGTTACTTATAACAAAAATTCTGTAGCTCAGGTTAAAACTGTAATGGTGAACCTCTGGCATGCTCTGTGGGCATGCATGCCATTGCCAGCTGCTTTGCTGCATGCACCGGCCAGCTGATCTTCGCATGTGCCAGAGCCCTGGAAACCTCGGGTATGCACTAAGACCAGCTGGTGCGCCAGAAGCCAGTTTCTGAGATTTCAAGATTTCAGGTTTCCAGGGCTGCGGCCTGTGTGAGTGCACATGTGAACACACGTTCCAGTTTGGGGACTCAGTGCCGTAAAGGTTCGCCATCACTGGGCTAGAACTTCTGCACCCATTTTTCAGTTGGGAAATGGGGCAATTGTAGAAGTCGTGGCAGGTTTCTTGATTCCTTGGTTCAGCATAAGACTCAGCCCTGTGTCTTAGTTTTTTAAACAGAAACATGCTGCTTTCTGTTTTTTCTGCCTATATTTGTGAGCAAGTGAGAATTAAGGGACTTCAAGCATGTAAGACAGATAGATGCCAATTGATATTCAGTATATTTTTCTTCCTGTCTCAGGTGAAAATTTATTCAAACAGGATTTTCAGGTTTTGCCAGTGTTTGGCCAGAGATTAATCAAGCAACGAATCAGCGAACACCTAGAGGCAAACAAAGTCATAACCAAAAGCCAACATGGGTTTGTCAAAAACAGATCATGCTAGATAAATCTTATTGCATTCTTTGACAAAGTGACAAAATTAGTAGACCAGAGGAATGCTGTGTGTATAATTTACCTGGACTTCAGTAAGTCTTTTGATAAAGTAGACCACAACCTAGTTACTTGATAGGATAGAAAAATGTGGGTTAGACAGCATCACCACCAGATGGATTCATA